TGTATAATACTTAAAATAAATAAAAATAGAAATTTCAAAGATCGTTTATCATGGATGCATGTAATTAAAATTTTTCCTTTTTTTTTTTTTGTCAAATGTTTATCAATGAAATTAGAACTGAAAATCATCTTTTTTGACCTGGTCCATTATTTCAATGGGATATTTGTAAGGTTTTGTTTATTATTCTTTGATATCTTGATAGAAGTGAATTATACTTGAATAAGAGAATAAAGAAATGTATGAGTGAAAAATCATTGATAAACAAAAATATGAATCTAGTTAATTATATATATGTGAAAGAAAATATTGAACAATAGCATATGAGTGGGAAGCTAAACAAGTAATAGATTATTATTTGTCACAATCACTTGTTATTTTATCATATCTTCCTAATAAATTTTCCTATTCAATAGAGATGTTTATTTATTTTGACTTAAATGTTTTTTTGTTATGATTAATTATTGTTCGCAAATAAAAAAACAAATTTTCCAAATTAACAACAAAAAGAAAACTTCAATTATTCGAATTAATGATATCGAATATAATTTTCTCGATAGATGCAAATTAATTTCTAATAGCTTTTGTTAAGTAAATATTTTCTAATGAATTTATATAGACTTGCTAGAAAATTGTTTAACATATCATCTGTAACATTTTCTTCGATTAACTGTTCATATGAAAATGTGTAGCATAATAACATGTAGTACATAATTAATCTTAAAAATCTAACGTTTGTTTCTTTAAGAAATTCGTCAATCTATTTGTAATAATTAGTTTTTTTTACTTCAGTAATTTTCTTTTAAATGAATTTATGAATGGTTGAATGAAATCGACTTATTTACAAGAAACCATAATATGATTACCCCGAGGGCACGAGAATTATATAATTTAGATAACATATATTCTAGACTACAATCTTACTGATATCCCTTAGGAAATCACTTCATTTTAATGGTTTCTTATAAGTCACAAATCAAGTTTAGATTATTTTATATGTTCTAAATATAGATATATATATTTTAGCTATTCTTTGAGTAAATTTGAAGATTAATATTTAAAAATAAAAAAAATTTTAAAATCCTACATATTTTATTTATTTCATCATTACAAAAAATAATTGAATTTAATCAACTTTTAAAAATAGTGATGAAATAATAGATAAGTATCGATTTCATATTAAAACGATTACATGATTATATAGGTTTTTTAATAACTTAAAAATGATTGTAAAAGGAGATTTGATCATCTATATAATAAAATTTATTATTTGATCTTTTTAGTCAGATAAGTAAATCTTATATATATATATATATTTACTATTCGTATAATTGACAAGATAATCAGCTAAAGTCGATATGCATAAATAAATATGATAAATAAAAATATTGGAAAAAGAATAAATTTTATACTCAAAATTAGTATTATTGAACATGAAGTTTCGTTATAAATCGGATTGTCTAAGATAAACATAACTTTAGTCTTTACTTACAGATTAATGTTTTCTTTTTTCAACTATAGTAAGAATTAATTA